ATTGAAGTTGTGAAAATGAAATTAATTTTTAGGCAAAGAGAGAGAGAGAGAGAGAGAGAGATGGTGAGAGGGAGATATGACACGGACAGCTAAGGCCAATTTATTGAAAAAAGGACGAAAGAGAATATGAAATGAAACGGAATGGAATGGTGTCGTATGGAATGAAATGAGAAACGCACGCGCAGCACTGTGCATAAAAAGACCCAACTGAATTATGTACCATAATAAAAAGTTATGACTGTAAAATTTTTTAATTGCACATTTGGGAGTTTTCGCTGTTGTTGTTGTTGCTACTGTTGTTGCTTTTGTTGCTGTTGCTGTTGCTGTTTATTTAATTTTAAATTGCGAGCACAGACTGTCAACGTTTTTCTGGTGCTTTCTGGCTTTCATTAGATGCCGTAAAACAACGACTTCATCGACATTTCCCATTCAAATTTGTCGCAAGACAATGACAAACTTTATTTGGCTTTTTTGCGGTGCTCGAAAGTGAAACAAAAGTTAAACACATTACAGCAACAACAAAAACAAGCTGTTGCTACCATTGTTGTTATTATTGCCGTTTTTGTTGTTGTTGGTGTTGTATTCTTTTGTTTTGACTGGGCAAACATCGTTAAAGTTTTTCTCTTTTTGCTTATGCGAAAAATGAGCGATTAATGGCCTTTAGGCAAATGTTTTTCACCGGCTTTTCCTCAATTTGCTTATGTGCTTTATTTAAGTGTGTGCGTGTGTGGGTGTGTGTGTGTTTGTATAAGTGTTGAATTTTGTTTGCTGCTCCTGCTGCTGTTGTTGTTGATGTTTCTGCCTGAATGAGAAAATTGAATTTATTAGCACAATTTTGCGGTTGCGCTGAGTTTAAAGACTCGGCCAAAAATGAAAAACAAAAAAAAAAAATAAAAATATATATATTAATTATGGATTTCTGAAAATTTATTAAGCTTCTTTTTTTTATTTGTTTCGAGGATCAAAAGCAATGTAATCCTTACTTGTTAAGTATATTACATTCTGTGGTTTCATTTTAGAGAATAAAAAGCCAAATAAATTCCTTTTTAAATGCTTTTTTATTTCTGCTAAGTACTTATTATATTTGTATGCGCATATAAAAAAGTGGCTTTTCATTTAAAAAATAAATATACATATTGCGTATTTGTTCTACTTCTTGTACTTAAATGAAAGGTTAAACCTTATTTTCTTTTTTTTTTTTGTAATTTATTTTTATACCCTTTTAGGAAATGAGGGGAGTGTATATGTTGCACGGAATATCTCTCTTGCTATGCGATGCTTTGCCTGTCTATCTTTAAGGTAGAGAGTCTAAGTGCGAAACATTTCGTTCTTTGTACCCAGGAATCATAAAATGTTAAGATTTGTTGTGAAAACTCAGGAAGGATTATCTTGTTCAATATAATATAACAACATTTTATTAAGAGACTTGCAATTTCGAACATATTTACTTATTATTTGCAACAACATTTTCGTTTAGCTGCATCTATTACGATCATGTTAAAGTAAGAAAAGAAGAACTACGATGTTTTATATCTGAGATTGCTAAGTTGTTAATTATGTACTAATGCAGTAATACATAAATAAAAAGATAAGTAGAAAACGAAGGATGTTTTAAAGTTATTGAACACTTTTGCTGACAAAAACTAAAATTCAATAATTACATCCAAATGTTCAATATAAAGAAGGAAAAAAAAAAAAATGACTCTTTGGCTCGTTTCTTTAATTTCATTAAGACTCTAAAAAAGACTAAGAAAGTCTATTGTTCTTATCTATTGGTAAAGTTAGTAAATAAATAGCCCATTGAGACGACTCGGATATAAATTGACCTGATTTTGTATCGTGGACGACGATTCAGTCTGCCTGCGATGCTTTTACTCATTATTTCTCCTATTTAATAAGCTGTCTAAATTGAAGCTCTGTACTTAAATTAATTTTCAAATTGTAAAAAGCTCTTAAATACTTGCACCTAAAATTCCTTTCTTATGTATTCTGGAAAATCAATAATTTCATTCCTGCTTTTATATTTTATATGTGAGTCAATATACATTCTAAAATAAATATTTTTTCACAAGAAACTTTCACAGTTGCTTTTAAGAAAATGACTCAATTCTTGTTAGACTTTGGCTAATAAATATTTGGTACCACATCTGTGGGAAAACGAAAGTTTTCCAAACGGAAAGCATTTAAAAAGTTTGGCCAACGGAATTCAGGCATATGATGTGCCATTTGGACAAGAGCTAATTTGCTTCCTTCTTTTAAAACATTTTTATTTTAATCTCGCCAAGTGAATTTACAAATTAATTAAAACAACAAACAAAGCGGCGACAGTAAAGGACAAGCAACAGTCCGCACAGTTCCACAGGTCAAGCAAATAAAAAAAAGTTACAAAATACCAAAATGAAAATAATAAAAATACAAAAATGGGAGGCAAAAAAACTGAACCGCTAAAAAGTCGAGAAAACCGCAGAGCAAAACCAAAAGCAACACCAAACAAACACACACACATATATTAAAACGAAAACAAAATTAAGGCACTAAAACAACAACAACAAGAACAACAACAATGAACAAATGTCAGCGAGTAGTTGAAAAGGCAATTTCCACAAGCGTCTGGCTGCGGCACGATATGGGAGCCAGCAGGAGACGGGAGCAGGAGGCCGGCCAGCAGCAACCGCTCCCCGCTAGCCCAAAGGACCAGTAAATGAAGGAACACCGCAACAATAACAACAACGGCACGGACAACAACAACAATAACAATGGTGGGCCACAACAAGGACAACGACAAAGCGTCCGTCGCGCCGACGGCAAATGTAAAAAAGTCAAAACTCGGCGAATCGCATGGAAAAGCGCGCCTCGGAAAAGCGCGTAGAAAACGCACAGAAATAATAATAATAAAAGTGGGCAGCACCACCGAGTGGCACCGAGCGGACAGGCGGGCAGGTGGCCGGACGGCGGTGGGTGTTGCTTTTTGACGGTTTCAGTGAGCACAGTAAATTATAAATTAACGCTGCAGGCGACACGAGGTCAACGGCGGACGAACTGGTGGAGCTGGCTCCACAGCACCACAGCACCACCGCACCACCACACCTTGCCCAAGCACTGGCCCAAATCCAAGCCCGTGCCCGTGCATTATTTTTGTTGTTGCTGTTTTTGTTTCTTTCTGGTTTTTGTGTTCGGTGACTGTGTGCGTGTGTGTGTGTGATGTCCTTTTCACGTGCGGCAAACTGACCGCAACATTAAGGGGGAGCAAGGGCAAAGACGCATGGCACGGAGCCAACTTGAAGTGGTCAAGTGGTTCGACAATCGCTGGCCAAAAGCAGCGCAGCATGGCCAACACTCGAAATATATCTTTGGTGTGAGGACTCTGAAATTAAGTTCTGGCAGTGTAAAGCGACAAATACCAAGGAGACTCTAATTGAAATTAAGATGTGCGTTAAGCAACAGCTCAAGCGGGAAATAAAGTTGTGCGGCAAGAGATTTATCCACAGATTGCAGCGAAACAACTCGGTATATAATAAATAAATTTAAAAGTATTTAATTTCGATTTGATTTTAAACTATTTCTGATTATTATTATCCACTTATGAAGTTGTATATCTAAAACTTTAACGTTTGCTACCTGAAATTTCGAATTCAATACAAATTGAAATATTCTCCCGAGGTATGTAGGTTCTCAAGGCAAGAGATTTCACTGCTACGATTAAAATTTTTGAATTTCATTAACTCAGCACTTGAAAAAAATATTTACTCGATGTAATACTGTCCTTTAATTTATCCTTGTTCATATTCAATCTCAAATATTTTAACATATTAATGCTTTTATACGAGTGTATTTAAAATACATTAATATATTTTTGTCAATTTTTGTTAAATTACTTTTAATAAAACAATATTCTAAATTCCTTTCTGCTTCTGCTTCTTATGGAACTTGAAAACTTCAAATTTGGGACTCCAGCTAATCGTAACTATAATTAAATACAAATTTTAATATTACTCGGGGTGAGTTAGGTCCTCTTGCATATAAAAAGTCTATCATACTTCATCATTTCTGTTGTCTTGACAATAAAATAAAAATAAAAATAAAATAAATTATAATA